TCCAACACCTGCTCTGAAATCACTAGCCCACCAGCCCAGGATGACCCTCCCAGTCACCGATTCGCACTACTATCACAGCCTAGCATCGCAAAGTCATTCTCCCTGTCGATCCTCCCCAAAAACTCCTTTTTCAGCCGCTGTCGGTTTGCAACCACATGGTCCTCGCCGTGGCAATGCCCTATATTATGAAATCTGCCATCGACGCTATCCATCCTTTTTGATCGAGCTACCCGCGAAAGTTACGCTCCCTCTCGAACTCCGTTCCTGAATGCTTCTCCCGCAGCGCTCATCCAAACTCGATGCGGTATGTCAAAACACCTATAGAGTCCGCAGAGCACAATGCTACAGCTCGTTTCTCTCGTTTCAAACTCATGCTAAATCTCTTTCGGACACCACGATACTCGGGGGTTTACACGGCACTCCCGATCGACGAGGTGAACGTGCACGGTCGTCGGAATGGAGAACTAGCAAATGCGGCTGCGGCATTGGGATCCCTGGCCTTGATTGCACGTTATGCATAGCCCCGTTCTATGACCCAAACGAGAAGCGGCCTGGTTTAATGAAATTCCTGTATATATACAGCAGTGTGGCATGCCCTGATCAGTATTGTATCGATGCACCGCCCCTTTCATCAACGATCGCGAGAACATCAAAGAGAACTTATGATCAGTTCGACACAATATCACTGCAAATAGGAATTTCTTTGTGTGTACATCACGCGACCCAATTTCCGAGATGCAATCTGATGCATCCACCATGTTTTGTGAGGCAGTGCGACCACGTCGCCTAAGTGGTAGGATCGACAAACAAAGCATTCTCTACCGTTCTCCTGCGTAGCTGGGGTCATCCTGTCAAAAATGCGGACCTTGCCGCAATCAATACGCAGGCCTTCGATCCCCGACGGTTATCGAGGATGATGGTTGCACAGGACAAACCAAGTAGGCCAAGTTACACAAACGGCCGGGAAGGGCATCCGCTCCATCGTTACGCTCCATCGTTGCTAATCAAGCAGTCATTCCGATTCTACAAAACTAGTGTACGGGTATTTCAGCCCATGGCGACTCCCTCCTCGCAACCACCAACGGTCCCCCGGTACGATGTGTAATTCGTAGTGTGCGAGCGTTTAATGGAACTTATCGGTGGTGCCCTGAAACGTGCCTTGCGAGAATGAATGTTGCCCACGCGTCGTTTCTTCAAGGGTAGTCCTCATTCTTTCTGCATTCTAGACATACTCGGTGCACCGCATGTGGTGCGCATTGTTATTTCGAACGTAGAACACGAGGAAAATCGATGCTGCCGCCCGACGTTGCTGTGCACGCTGTAAGACGCTGTGCGAACCTCCAATTAGCGCCGGACCGGGATTCAAAAATGGTGCCGAAGGGGGGGTCGTTCTAGGTGAGAACGTAAGTTTTTGTGGCTTTCGAAGGAGAAGGCACGCCCTTCTATAATAAGAATACTTGACCTAAACCATGGTCACCGTTCCGCTGATGGTGGAACCTCGGTACTGAGAAAACCCCAGATTCCAAACAATAAACGGGCAAGTTGAGTCAGCCTGGCGCAAGTCTGACTTGAGATATGCTGACAAGTGAAGAGTCAGCCGTGAGACGCGTCAGCCAGAAGTGACTCGAAAATGTTGCCAAGAACTAGTGGCATTCGGCGGCACAGCCTTGATCAGAGATGGCACCTTGCCGCATCAGTGGAATAAACTTTGATTGAGAGCGTTCATTCGTTGCTGCGAATGCTACCATCGTTGAGTTACGGCTCTTGGCTTGTGGGAAAGAGTACGTGGCACAGGAATACCAGAAGCTGGTCCCCGAACCAACTTCAAGCCCGCGACCAAAATTATCTTTGTAGAACCGCCATCGTTTCACATTATCGGTGCCGTTAGCGTGCTAAAGCGAAGGTTCCCGGCACTAAACCTTTTCACACTGAATGATAATAATAGTACTGACATCACTGGCCAGATTGACCGCTGTGTTACGACGCCCCATCGTTGCGATGTTGCAATGAGGCATAGATCGTTTCGCCCCTGGAGATAGGAGATGTAGGCGGATGCGAATGCAGAAATGAGGAGGCTACCGACGGAAAGAAGACGACTCGGATCAATTGAAAGATTTTCAGGAGAATCCCCCTTGCATTGCGCTAGAGGGCGCCACCATTTTATTGCCTAGGTCGTCCGCAACAATTGCGCGTTTTCTCCATACGTCCACATCCATGGTCGGTACGGCGGCATATCGCGAGGTGCAGGGAACCAAAAGCTCGAAGGAGCGCAAGGACGGATCATGATGCAGCGATCCAGATCCCCACAGAGATGTGGATTTTCCGAAATTACAAACGACACTGTGAGAAGCTCAGTAAATGACGATCAACTGGGGTGTAAGTCATTGTTCCTGGCCGGGAATTTAGACTGTTAAATTAACCCGAACTTCTCCTGAGCGCTGAAAAGACCCTCTGTAATCACGAATTTGCGCTCGTCGTGATTAAACACAGCATATTCCGTTCACATGGGTCCATGAAGGGCGGCCGAACGCTGTCGAGCGAAATTTTCAGATAGAAATCCAAAAGATTGCCGAAATCGTCTACGGACGATATGTCAATGTCATTTTTGAGCTAGTCCAAGACGATATGAACAGGCGCATTCCCCCCACCACAGCCACTGCTGGGCCGCTTGTCATCAATAAGCATAAGGTTGGCAGGAGGAGCGATTAACGCGCGTACCGCATGGACTCCATCATTTTGCGCTCGCGGGAAGCCTGGTTGTAGAGGCAATCACCGAGCTTGACACTCCATTAGCCTCGAGCAGATCGTCGTAACGCAAATTCAGAGTCCTCAGGTTCCATGTTCCTAGACCATGTTGAGAAGGCAACATTAGATGCAGGCCTGCATGCAAGGCTACGGCGTGATCAATAACCGTCGACGCGTAACCATGAATTCACTAGTAGGGCCGAAGAATATGTGCATGTTTAGTAAACACATAATGATCTGACAGGCTACAGCTTCTACCTTATTTGATGCTGACGTGGAGTATCTGTTTGAGTGAACTAGTAGCTGGGGCAGTGATTCAATTTCCCTCAGAGTTTGGCGAGTCGACACACGATCGAATCGCATCATTCATGAATGGATGATGGATGGAATCAGAATGGATTGGCAATTTTGGTGACAATCAAATTCATTGACAGTTTTCCACTTTCGACCACATTAGGGTTAGGGTTAGGACTACAAACCAGCAAAGAAAGGGCCCACCCAGCCAGAGTGGCCGTGGTGGGACAGGAAAATATTGAGACAGTGCATGAGCCGAAGCTCACACAAACTGAAGGCACCCTCTGAGGACAAGGTCGCCGTGCTATGAAAGGTCCCAACAGCCCAAGAACCTGAGACATGAAGAGGTCCGTGCCATCAAGGTAAGTATGAGGAATTAGATTCGTGAGTGGTCGACCTTTATACTCGGCGGCTAATTGCGCACGGACCATCCGGTGGTATTAGCCGAGGGTATATTATTTAGCGAACGCCGTTTAACAGGACAGAAGAGGCAAGCTTCACTTCGGGGGTTTGCGTGATTTGAACTCGAGCGCAAGCCCGGTGGCGGCGCTGAGCGCTGAGCAAAATAAAACGGCCCAAGCATCATAGAGTTTAAACCCATCGGCGGCGAGCAAGTACGCGCGTATCGTTGTCCTAGTGGTGTTGCTAACTTATTCTGGAGTACTCAGAGCACGGTGCTACCAGTATCACAGCTAACACAGCTTAATTCGCCGTCGAAATTGTGAAAAGCATGCATCTCAGAATAACCAACAGTGGTGAGTAACCGACTCAGATTGACGCATTCAGGAATAAGGCCTCAGGATTATTATTCAGGATATATTTTCTAGTTATGTGGTGGCCTTCAGTGTGCTCCCGGCGCGAGTGCGATTGGTTAGACGTCGGTCGTGTCAAGGATCACAGGGATGCCGCATGCTCCCTCCTCGGAGCCGGTAGCCATCTCGTATAAGGGTTGATTTTCGTGAGTATGCAATGTCTCAACGGGTCACATATTTCAACTCACTGTAACACTACATAACTTCTCGCGCTTACCGCTCGGTTGCCCTTTCACAAATGAAGGAGAATGAATTTACACAATTTGGGACAAGGACCATCTATTCTTTCGCAGACGAACTGCGGTATGGAAGTGCTTGATAATGATGCATGCACCTCCGATCATAGTGAGAGAGTCCATCCTTTTACAGGCACGATTTCAAACATCAAGTCCCCAGGGTCGCAAATAGAGCTGAGTGCCTTAATGAGATATGTGTTGAGCGGTATGATATGAATTATTGGCTAGTCGTTGGCTCCGGCGCAGAGGCTTGCTCAATATATCGTGTTCTTTCCGAGCGACGTTACGTACTTATTTCCTCCCACTCCTGGCCTGGACTTCTCCTGTCACATCCGAGTATATTCGTGTTCACAAAATAGTCGTCTGTTCGGGACTCCCGTGGACGCTGGATACTCAACGGATCTGGACTGTGGATGAGACTGAAGAGCACATTCATGTTCAACTTCGCTTCGACTTTTTTCCCACATTTGAAAGGGATCTTTTTGCAACCTTTTCTTCCTTTGTTCAATTGGGCCGCGATAGATGTCTCTGCACTACTAATACTTCTCATGCTTCTTGTGAAGGATCAGTGAAAGGCTTGAAACAATGGTTGTAAGTCATGCTTGGCGTCCTTGAATATTTTCACTTACATGTTTTTAGGACGGCCGTTCTGAGAAACAAAATGCAATCATACCTAGACGCATCGATTTCATGCTTTGTTGCTCGCAACAAAGTGCTTTACATGATCGCGGATGATCCAGACTGACGTATAAAGTCAAATGTGAATCCCCTTACCCCAACACACATCTCTGCGATCTCCAATCAGCCCTGCTCGTTCACGATGATTCCGTTCACATCGGCGTGTCTGGCGACCGCATTCGACTGTAGCATTGGTTACAATTGCACTTCGGAGAACCATTTCGATATTGCTACCATGGATGAAGAGCTGGCATCATTCAAGTTCCCAAACAATGTAAGCTGGACGATCTGTGTATGAATGATGTCCTTATGCTTTGCAGCTTTACGATGCTGTGGCTCGTGCCTGGGATTCACGTAATTGCCCGCATACTCGGGGTTTTGGTCAGAAACCACCATGTCATCTCGCCAGTGCGATGGAAAGTTCACCTTCCGATATGGGAATAACATGGGACAGGCTTGGTTATCGTCCTTGTCGTTCGTCTTACGAAGAGAGATGTGGTGCTGTGTCTGTGAGACCAAGTGAGGTCAACTCCCTGCGCCCCTGTACCCCGCCTTTGGACTGCGAGGATTTTCAAGCGCTCCGATCGCGTCGTAGAAGTGATAGCGCAGTTTCTGATAGACCATTTGTCACCCAATGTGACGATCATCCATCTGATGTTGATGACGGGATTGATGACTGCGGTTATTCGACAGACGGTACAATGCCATGGCAGCTGCATAGCGTCACACAGGATTCACCAATGCCTTCAGCTTCTTCTTCTCTCGGTTCTGTGTCATGGTCCGACAGTTCTGAGGACGGCTATGCTTCTTCTACCCCCGATGACGGTTATAATGAAATCAATGTTCCCCATCCATGTACTCCAGCTTCTTCGAATATCAGGGTTCCGGGTACCCTTACTGCGGTCACAAAGAAGAGACGAAATGCATCAGCTCCGCCCAGGGATAACACCAAAAGGCAAAAATGCCTCAGAGACGAGCGAAAAGCTACAACTCACAAGCGGTGTTCCTCGTCCGATACTTTCACGCCTTACAAAACCGATGACTCTGAATATGAATCATCGACATCGGTCAAAGAAAGCAGTCTCGCTGGACCCAAACAGACCTTATTTCCCTGTTTACTTGACGGCTGCAGGCAGGTCTGTCACAGTGCCACCGATCTTGCACGCCATCGGCAGTGTCTTAGACATCGTGCTCCTGAATATTCATGCTTGGGTTGCCGACACCCGTTCACTCGTCCTGATGCTTTGAAGAGGCATCTTAATGGAAGGCATGCCTGCAAACAGGCGCATCGAGCGGCTCTGGCTGCTAGCAAGGCTTAGAGGATTTTTGATTGTCTTCTTAGTCCTGTCGGCCACCAATCACATTGGAGGTCCTTCCTCGATCTCCGGTGTCATCTTGATCTGGAAGCGGGCGAGCACGTCAACAGTGTCGACGGGAACACGCAAGAGTTCGTCGTCAATGAGTTTGTCGTCGGGGTTTCATTATTGCACGTGGACTTTACTGCGCATTATTACATCAAGAAGTAAAGCTAGATAACTAATACATAAGCTAGCCCTTCATTTTTACAGATGTGTGGAAATACATACAAAGATTCATGTAACTGCTGCAATACTCTACGTTCATATAATAAGAGGATCATCACACCCTTGTGAAGTTACAGTCCGAAGGGAATGACCCCGCGCGGACGCATCCTCCAACCTCAACTCCTCTGAGATATCCTTGGGACTATTTGTCGGAAGGGTATCGGCGGCTTTAAGCTCTTCAACGGAGACGGCGCGGCGCTTCCCAAGGAAGATCCAGCCCAAAGGCGCATCTTCCAATGAGCGAAGGATGATGTCTCTCTCGAAGAGATATTTGATGTCTTCCAGTGGATACCCAGTCGTCTCGGGTATGAAGATATATACCCATGCTACCATTATAAGTGAAGCAACGCCAAATAGGAGGTAAGTCCCATAGGTGATGCGGTCTAGCATGATGGGCGTGATTTGGGCGATGACGTAGGTAAACAGCCAGGTAGTCGCAGCTGCGAGGGACATGGTGGCCATACGGAGATGGCCTGGGGCAACTTCAGAGCCGAGGACAAAGGGAGTAAAACCCCAGCCTAAGCAGAAGAAGACGCCGAATAAATATATGGCGACGATGGAAACGTACGTGGCTGGCACAATGCCCTGGCCGGGGTGAATACCAGCGTACCCGCCAAGCCATAACATCATCAAGCCCTGCGCTAGACCACCATAAATCAGGGTTCTCTTCCGACCCCAACTTTCGATGACGAAGGCAAGAGTCATGCATGTGACGACGAATTTTATGACACCATATATGCCAGTGGCAAATAACGCTGAAGAAGTAGATGAGAAACCGAGGCCGGCAAATATTTGGGGAGCATAGTAATTGATTGCATTCGTGCCGGACCACTGCTGGAAGAAGGTGGCGATAGAAGCGATGATGCAGCGCAGAAATATGATTTTTGATTCTCCCATCTTGCGGAATTGTGTGAGCAGCGGCAGTTTGTGCTTCCCGACGAAATCAGCGCGAATCTCGCCAAGAGTCAGTACGACAGCATCATCGTCCTGATCTTTCCTCGCAATATATGCGAGTGCTGCAGCTGCTTCCTCGTAATGCCCGCGTTCCACAAGCCAACGTGGAGACTCGGGTTGGAAAAGCATAAAAAACACAAAGAGTGCCCCAGGTATAATCTGGGCGATAAAGGGCAATCGCCATTGCATTTGTCCTGGTGAGATATTAAGAGAAACGCTATAGTTGACCCAGACTATACAACATCAATCAGGTAAATTGTCACATGCCTGGAAGTGACACCCACAAGCTAGCATATTTCCCAGTCCCACCGAAACTTCGATGCAGCCAGTGCATCGACCGCGTATGGCTCTCGGGGCACATTCAGACACGTACGCTGGCACCAAAGCTGATATCGAACCCACTCCCATACCGGCGAAGAAACGGGAGAAATACAAAACTTTCAATCCAACAGCCGAGGACGCTCCAATTCCAGCTGTTGACTGGATGATGCATCCGATGAGGTAGATGACTCCCGAAGCTATTAGAGCAGGCTTTCTCCCAAATCGGCCTGCAAAGTAACTCGAAAATAATGCCCCAAAGCTAAATATATGAGTCTAATTGAGGTAAGCAACTGTACTGCACTCACAATCCGCCTGCTTGCAGGACCGAAACTATATTAGCGCTCAAGGTGGCGCGTGCAGAGGCTGATTCCGATAGCAGACCGAAATATTCTTCAAATGATGGCAATGTGATCACCCCACCTATAAGACCAATTTCCCAACCAAAGCAGACGTATCCCATGGTCGCTGAGAACGCAAGCAAGTAGGCATTGCGATACTGAATGATATCCCGGAGCTCCCTTTTCAAAGTCGTGGCCATCATAGAGCAGAGAGCGTATATGACGTGAACAAGAGGGTGAGCGTATCTCCTTAAAGGCGAGCGAGCAATGCCCCATCTTATAGTGTATCCGGGTCGTCTTAAGTGGATCTCAACTTGGGACTAGCAAACTCCATTTGGATACTGGCGTACCACGGGCGTCATTAAACTCATCACTGACTAGTTTGAAAAGCGATATTCCTCGAGAAGGTTGCCACTGGCAGCAGCAGCCAGCATCCAATGCCTTGTACTAGCTGAATTTAGTAGCATGATATTGAGGAACAACTGTCGTCTTCCTGTACGAAAAAACTGGTAGTTGCGAAGGACCAGAACCTATGAGGCTTAGCTTCAAATCTTCGACATGATGGATTGATGGATTGATGGGCCCGCCTTGAACAAATTAATCGGACGCGGATACAAGCGTGAACTAGAACGAATGCAGCACGACATCACGTAATACGCACCACTTGTCCACATGTTAAAATGCACCAACAAACAAACTTGCGAGTGCAACCGCATGTAAGAGGCACATAATAAGTAACGATCACGAGTTCTTCTTTGCAGCATGCCCAGACTCAGAACTGGGTAATGGGCTCCATATTAATCATCACCTCATCACATTCTTCTGATCTGAATAATATCATTCGGTGCCGCAGGTCCGTGTTTTCTTACCCTCGAACCTGGACCAGGATTGCAGGTTTGCCAATGAGCCGGTCAGGTATGGTTCTGTAACTTCGAGTTCGAACTGGCTCCAGACCCATTGCCTGACCAAAATAGAAAATTTCTACTACTCGAGCTGTCGCAGCCCTAAACGAGTCACGACCACCTCTTTATCACAAACAGAGTCTTCTGCCCATCGTCCCCTCTCTGCAGCCCCTTTGCCAGCTCTCTGTGTCTCTGTGCCTTCGTTCCCGTTTGCATTTGCCTTTCGCCATCTGAATATCGCCGAAGTTCTGGGGAAGCAATGTTGCACGCTGTTTCGTGTCTGTAACCCACATCTCGTTTGCAGGGCACCGAGGGATCTTGTGCGGGCAATTAATCCAATTCGATGTGGCTCAGAATGGGACACCGGGGAACATTTATCTGATATGTTGGATGTCAGATACGGGTGTATCATACTAATACAATACCTCCACAATACAAAATAGATGACGCTTGCCATTCTGGCGAGCTGCCTTCGTCGACATAAAATAAATCTTCTGCAAGGAAATTCTTCAAGGTAAGGAGGTTTTCGAAATTGCCTTGTGCCTGGTGCCTGGTGCGTGTTGTGGATTTGGTCGAGTTATTTGAGTCCGCTTTACGTTTCGGCAAAATTAACTGGTGTTTGCTGCGCACTGAATGTGGAAGCAGGTCTAAAGCCAGGTACTGCCGACGATGGTGATGGAGGAGTAACGCGAGGCGTAGCGGAAAGCTTTTGTGTTATCATCCGAGACACATTAACTCAGACATCGTGCAGAATTTCGCCTTCTGGCTCTTATCGTTTCAAGTGTAGGACACCTGAAATTTGGGTTGGTCTATAGATCGAGAGGCATGGGATCTTTCCGACATCGGAAAGAGGACATTCACTTTTCTTCCGCAAATTGAAGCACATGTGCGGCGCCGCAGCCAAACTACGCGTGACCAGCATCATTGTTAATAATATCTCAAGGTCCGATATATATACCATACCTTGTGTAGTCCAGAGTAAGACCGGCACACGAATTTCGAAGGCTACTGGCAGTATATCCGCCGGCGGAGGCGGCCCGGGTACGTACAACCTAATAGGTCGGTTCACATGATGAGTACTTGCAGTAGGAGTTTGAGGGACCATGCTGAGTTTCTAACTTCAGTGATGTCGATGACTATCATCATACATACTTATGAACAATCGTGAAACTGGACCCAGTCCTGTGTATGGGTTTTATCCACACATGATAGACTCGAAACTCTCTCCAAGTTTTAGGCAAGCACGATCAATGCGTGCTGCATATCAACGGACCCATTTCACCGGTTGTTCATCCACTCTCGGGAAAGTGCAGCTATGGTGTAGCAGGTAGGTAAGTGATAGGCTAATATGTCAAACCTTGCCTTCTGAGTGCAAACAATGTCGACGTACTAGTTCAAAGTTGGTGTTAGCATTAGTGAGCAGCGCAGATAGGACGGGGTAGATCGACATTCCACTTGACCATAATTAGATTGACCACAATCATTCGTCAGGGGCACCGCCCCCACCGGGTTCCTGCACCACTAGTCTCTCGAAAGGGATGTAGTTTCCGACAAACGCGCGCGGAGAAAGTTACGTAGGTAACCATCCCAGGCCGAATACGAAGAACGTGTGTAGAAGTATATCTATGCAAAGCATCATGATTCGTTCGTTCCACAGAAACTCACAAGAAGACGTATAGGTGACTCACAGAACTTTCAGCGATACTCATAAAAAAGCGACGACCGCTCACATGACTGGGAAGATGTGCACTAATCTATATGCGAACATGCTCACGGTAGTGTCGTTCTCTCATCGAAGAGACTAGTGAAGCAGTGCAGTGAGCAAATGGCCTGGTTACCTTGTACACCGGGACTAGCTGAGTGCGCTCCGGTGCGCTCTTGCTTGTGAAAGCTTTCGGACGTTTCCTTTAGTCGCATGTTGGTTTCATGTGAGTTGTAGCTACTAACGCGGCCCAAGTTCACACGCTCACCTTAATAAAGCTGGTAAGATCGAATGATCAGTCTACCATCACACCACCATTACTTAGACCTTCGAAGCACCTGATCTCCCAAAATGCCTGGCACAGAGAGCGTGTTCCCAATTGATCTCAAGAAGTACAGAAAGTCAGTGTTTATTTCTTGTCGCAGTAAATTTGGAATGTCTGCTTAATCGGGGATGCGATAAGATTGACGCTTGACCCCTCCAAGCCCCAGTTGACTGCAGAACAGAAATCGACTCTTCTGCACAACATCCAGCTTCTCCGTGATGCTCTCGTGCTCTTCACCGCAACAGGTGCTGCCCGGGGAGTGAGCGGGCACACTGGTTTGTGGCTTTGATCTCTGATAGCTTGCTTCTCGCTTACCGTTCGCATCAGGTGGAGCTTATGACACCATTCCGGAGGTGTGCATTCTCCTCAGTTTGTTTGAGGCGTCGGAGAAGTACCTCCCCATCGTCTTCGACGAAGCAGGTATGCAAATGAATATATGCGTCTTTTGGACTTGACCTAACAATATACTAAGGTCACCGTGTCGCGACTCAATACCTTCTCGCTGCTCTCGATGGGCACATTCCCCCTGAGCATCTCCTTCACTACCGTGAAGCCAACTCAAAGTTACCTGGTCACCCCGAACTGGGTTTGACACCTGGTGTCAAGTTCTCCTCCGGTCGTCTTGGTCACATGTGGCCCATGGTGAACGGTGTCGCAATGGCAAATAAGGAAAAAGTTGTCTTCTGTCTGGGTTCCGATGGTTCCCAACAGGAAGGTAACGATGCCGAGGCTGCCAGATTGGCTGTTGCGCAGAACTTGAACGTTAAATTGTTGATCGATGACAATGACGTCACTATCGCCGGACACCCATCTCAGTACCTGAAGGGCTACGACGTCAGTAAGACTCTTGAGGGTCACGGTCTTAAGGTCTACACAGTTCAGGGTGAGGACATAGACGCCCTATGGGCCGCCGTCGCCGCGGTTGTTACCTACGATGGTCCTGCTGCTGGTAAGCCCGTCGACTTCCCAGCGTAACTTGAGTTTTAATCATGGTTCCAGTCGTCGCCAAGCGTCTTATGGCGCCGGGTGTTGCTGACATTGAGGGTAGCACTCATGGGCACGATGTTATCCCCGTGAAGGCCGCCGTCAAATACCTCACTGCACGGGGATACCCCACTTCAGTCTCGGAGGATATCCTCAACAACATCAAGCCTACGAGCGTGCCGTACTTATACATCGGCTCCACCAAGGAGGTTGGCGCAAACCGTGTTGTCTTTGGTGAAGCTGTCAATTTGGTGCTGGATAAGCTTAGCAAGGAGGAGGCTGCCGAGAAAGTCATGGTGATCGACAGTGAGTTCATCGATAAATTCACTAAGAACTTAGCTCATTTCAAAAAAAGGTGATCTTGAGGGCTCCACTGGTCTCAAGGTTATCCACCAAAAGCACCCTGAGGTATTCGTTCCATCCGGTATCATGGAACGTGGAAACTTCTCCACAGCCGCTGGTTTCGGTTTTGACGCGAACAAGTTTGGTGTCTTCTCGACGTTCTCCGCTTTCCTTGAGATGGTTATCTCCGAGGTCACCATGGCCCGCCTGAACAACTGCAATGTTCTTAGTCACTTCTCGCACTCTGGTGTTGATGAGGTGCGTAAATTATCGATGTTAGATCTGAGGCTTGGGCTCACTTTGTTGATAGATGGCCGACAACACCTGCCACTTTGGTGTCAACTCCTTCTTCGCCGACAATGGTCTCTCTGATGTTCAGTCGTGGCTGTACTTCCCTGCCGACCCATTGCAGATGGTGGCTGTCATCCAGCGGGTCTTCTTCGAGCGTGGCCTGCGCTTCGTTTTCTCCACCCGTTCGAAGGTGCCTTACATCCTCAAGGAGGACGGTACCAAATTCTTCGGTGACGGCTACAAGTTCGTGCCTGGCAAGGATGAGACGATCGTGGATGGCAAAGCTGGATATGTTGTCTCTTTCGGTGAGATGCTGTACCGCTCGTGGGACGCTGTCCTGCGCTGCCGCCAGGAGGGTCTGGATGTTGGCTTGATCAACAAGCCTACGCTCAACCTGGTCGATGAACAAACGCTTAGGAAGATCGGTTCAAGCCCCTTCGTACTGGTCGTCGAGTCACTGAACCAGAAGACCGGAGTACGTATCCATTCGCGTGCGGTAGATTCACACTAATGTGTCTTTCAGCTTGGTTCGAAGATGGGTACCTGGCTCATCGAGCGTCAGCTCACACCCAAGTATGGTTACATGGGTACGACCAAGGAGGGCTGCGGTGGTTTGTCCGAGCAAATTCCTCATCAAAACCTTGACCCTCAATGTTTGTTTCATTCTTGAATTTGATGCTGACTGATATTAATCATGGCTTTCCTACAGCGATCATTATGAAGATCAAGCAACTGTCTAACTAGACATTATAGAGAAGGCTTTCCAAAAACACAATAATACTGTAATGCCATTAATATTGCAGTTTGTACTGTTATCTTGTAGTATAACGATGCCGTAGGGGATACGAATTCTTGATCGTGTTAGATACTGTAACACCTATGGAGAAATATATCAGTAATTTTCAAATGAACATCAGTCAATAATAATCAGAGAGCCTAAGTGTGGGCGGGCGATTCATCGACTTCCAGTATTTAGTGAGAAATGTCTACGTAAACCTAGTCTTAAACATACTGTAACTTAAATAAATACTACGATAGATCCTCGACCAAATTTCTCCTCCATGCAGAACACCCTACAAGTATTTCCCTATACAGTGCTGCTGGTTGGTACATGTATGCGCTCCTGAAAGAAAATCGAATTCATGCTATTTTCTGCGTCGGATTCGTCCACAAGCTTGGCGTAATATTCTCGAACGCTAAGGATGAGGCATGGTCCCAGCACATACATCTGCACGCTCAAGAAAATCTGACAAGCATTATTGAGTATGTCGGTTCTCGTAGAATTTGAATTCTACAGAAATGATGAGCAGTGGTTGCACGCAGATGTCAGCGACGGGTCGGCGCACCTCGAGCTCTGGAGAGAACATAACTAGTTGGAAGCAGGAAGCGCTAACAAAGCTAGCACGTACGGAATTTGAGAACGCAGAGATGAGCATATTCACATTACAAGCTCACCTCGCAAAATAAAGCACGTGGGATTTTACCAGCACTTTGAAACAGTCCCTGATGGTCAATCCTGTCAATGGGCCGAGTCGTCGCAGGTCACGGAAGTGTTTCACAGCAATCCAGAGTGAAAGACACAGTGCGAGGACCTCCCAAATAGTGTAGAGCACCCAAATCATTGAAATAAGAAGTCCGACGTCCTTCTTGAATCCATAATCGCACATATATGTGCCAGAGAGTATCAGCGCCTCTGGTGATGGTCCAATGAGTTGTGATCTTCAAGTCAAAAGTAAGCTTACCCGCTACAGTATGCTTGAGTGCTATTGCCATGAGTACTCCCCAGGCGATGGTTATAGCCAGGAAGATAATAAGAAGGAAGATAAGCATCTTTCTAGATCCCTGATACATGGGATCAAACATTCCGACTCACATCTATTGAGCCATTATGTTGAGCCAAGTTGAATGGTCAGATTGTCACTCACCCCTACAAATATACAAATAAGTGTAATGAGATCGGTTGGGGAATACTGACTGCATCTGTCTTCGAGACCAATGGCATATGTACTGTGTTCCGCCGGTCAGAAGAATCGAACACGGTACATATTGAGACATACGCAGAACGGTGATACTGATCACGAGAGATGGGCTATTAGTGTAGTACTAACTTGTTAGCTTCAAAAACGTACACAGAATATGGTATTCCAACATAGCGTATCTAGAACATTTTGGTGTCAGCACAACTGCCAATCATGCCATAGTATGACATGAGGTACGAACAACCAAGTACAGCGCAGTCATGAGAGACCAGCGTTGCCTCTGCCCCAAATTAATTGGATTCTGTTGTTTTTCTCCTGATATCCGACTCTGTCACTCACCCAGATGAGTTCAATCTATGACACCATACTTAGCGAGTTGGCTGCTCAGGGAACAACATCGACCTACCTCTCGTCCAAGTGTAAGTACTGGAAATATCATGAGAATGTTAGCAGTTCTCAAACACTGTCCTGCTCACCCCAATCGTATACCACCACGACGCCTGCAGCGACTGTGAAGCCGCAAGTCAACGTTAGTTCGAGACATCACCAACTAAGTAATACGACGAACCCATCAAATAGCTTAAATAAATATTTGAATTGATTATCGGCCACGAGGCGGGATCATTTGAGACCAGGGTCATATTCGAGGGATGAGTGTGAGCGAGTGAGGGATGTTGAAGGTTATAGCGATTTAGTGTTCGTACCAGATATACTGCTGTTCAGTGCTGCAGCCCTCGTATCGCCAAATCGGCATGACAATGATGGTGATCGCCTGCCTCCGAGGGACCGAGTCGGAGTCGAGGCCCTTGGTTGGTTGAAGTCAGTATTGTGTGATGTGACATCAAACAAATATGGAAGTCCTAGGTATCGATTGAATGAAAGTATATTTTGATTTCCGACCAGTACCAATCTACCGATTAGAGAACATTCTGGATGTGCATGTGAACGTTGGCGGGGATTGATATGTACCGGTGTGGACATCAATGAACTAGCAGGAAGGTCAGATGAAGATCAGTACAGTAGTGATTCACAAACATCTGTCACATTGTGATGTCTGACCTTGTGGATGTGGATACGAAGCAGGGGTCTTCGATTACGGACAAAGTACTTCCAATCCCGAACTAAATAAAAGCACGATGAAAGATGGATTGGATGATAGGTTGGATTTGGGTTAGAAGCTTGTTAGAATCTATACGTCTCTGGTTCACGTCTCTGGTTCACGTCTCTGGTTCAAGGCGTGCCTAGGAGGCCTTAGAGTGGCCAACAGTCTCTGAACGGACTTCTTCGCTGATGGATCTTCTCCACGAGGTCTACCTTCAATGGCGCCTGTGATCTGAATGACCAAGTGTCGTGCATAAGAGCGGAACAGACGCATGCCCGCCCCATATTATCCATCTGGACAGCAGGGAAGTTGTAACGAATTGTGCGTGAAGTAGAAGTAAGCACTATATCGCTGATTGACCTCTGTTCAAGCACGATTCGACCATATTGAGTATGACAATTGAAAAGAGAAGGAGACTTACTGGGTGAGTATATGCATCTGTTCCGAATAAATGCGCCTGGCAAGAAGATGGGAAGTGCTGAGTTGGGAGTAGAGAAGAGATCCGGGACTGGAAAAGTATCAATAAGATGCGGACCACGATATTCTGACATACATGCTTTGATCAGATCGCACAGAATGTCTGGGATCTGGCCACTCCGGGGCCAGAGTTCGGGGCGGACTCCGGGGCTAGAGTCACTCGGGGCCCTTCGGCCAGTGCGGCTGACCTAAGCGGAGCTTTAACTTGGTAAAACATACCTTTGCAATGCCGCCACTACCATCCCGCCTCCCGCCAGTATTCCTCCCGCCACGGATGCCTGCTGACGCGCTCGTCATCCCGCCCGCTACATGTAGATGGCACACCATGTTCATGCTCCGATCAAAATGCACCATATTGTGGTATGTCAGCTTTGGATCTTTGCGCTGTCTGTTGTCTGAAACTGCCTTGTCCCAATATTTATACATCCAGTTTCCTACAGACGGATTTGTAGAGAACAGCACGAAAGTTTGCTGCAGACAGAACCCTCCCTAACTTATCATGGGAGTAGGGAATGTTGTACACATAGTACTACTAGTCTACATAGCCTAAAGTTTTGCCAGTTCTACCTCCTACACTAGATCATAACACACGGTTGATCGCTATTGGGAATCATCCCATACACTAGGATCACAGGGAAGCAATAAAGCAGTACCTACAGTGAGAAATATGATTGCAGTCAAGAAGTAGTATATCGACCATGCATCATGCCCTTCCTGCAATGAATAAGAGAAGACTGAAGCTGCAGACGCTGGGCCGATGATTCTTGCTGCTGAGACAGCCACTTGGGCAATTCCGTTGGTTGCTCTGAGAGAGGCGCAATTGGGAGCAGCTGCTCTAATGAATAATATTATGGCTTCTTAGTTCAACAGAACGCAGGAAGTGCTTTTAAACGAGTGTAGAAAAGTAGCTGAAATATTCCATGCATGGCACTTGATGCCGCATGTAAAGCACCAATGCGAGGAAACTCAAGGGAAAGACCACCAAGTTCAATCGGTGTCGCATAGAAAACAGGTAAGAGCGAATTGAACCCCATTTGAAACAGGCCTGTGGTGGCATAACTCGCTGTTACGCTCAACACTTTCGAGGTTAGTAAAGCACGCAGCGGAAGCGGTTTTGATTTGACATCGCCAGGATCAACTATAACATTGCTCAATGGCTGGCGAGGTTTTGAGTATGACTGTCCGAAGAATCCTCCTTTAATGCGCTCCCAAAGCGGTGTCTTGGTAGAAACGCTCTTGCAACCACACTTAGTGTGATACAGAGATGGGTTTTCAGCATCGTGCTCACCTCTTTAAGACAGGGTATACGTGACTAGCCACATTGTCGATATCAAAAATGCCGAAATAGAGCACGGCAGGAGATATGGGTAGGTTTTCAGGAGTTCTGATCGCCCAAAAATGTCAGGGAATCTGTCTGCTGGCCGGGAAAGTGATCCCCCAATGAGTGATCTAAATGCCGTTAACATCAAGTGTGAGAGATAATGTACTGTATACCTATCCAACTGTGCCTGCGATTGTCCACGGAATTGGTACATAACTGTATGCCTTGGGCATATTGGTTGCGTCAGTGATGTCCATCAGGCTGCTCTTGGCCATACTATCGCTCGCATCAAATGCTCCACAGACAACACGACTGGTCGGGAATGTCAGGAATTGATGGTCACAGCTACTAGAGCACACTGACCTGACCACCAGGGTGAAGAAGGTCTTCGACAGCCCAAATGAAAACATCGATATAGAGATTGGCTAATAGGGCTGTCAATATCACAGGCTTCCGTCCGATGTGGTCGGACAGTTGACTCCAATAAAAAATAGTCAGGGTATGAGCTGTCGATGGGGGCAGGCGCACGAGCTGACAGTGACATCATCCCGCTGTTCAATTGCTTACATGATGGGTCAACCTCACCAATTTAAACTCCGACTAAAATATTCACGTGCCCCAGACCCTGGCCCCAGAGTCCTGCCCCGAACTTTGGCCCCGGAGTGGCCATTTCCTGGACACACATGCCTCGAAACAGTTAGAGCGGAATGCTGCGATGGCGCCACTCCGATCAACGTGATTATGCATGTCATTTCAGAATATCGTTGTCGATGCCTAATCAATAATTTTACAGGTGCACTCGAGGCCTTCTGGCTTGAAGTTGCAGTTCTCTGATTTTCCACTCCCATTTCCTTGTCATGCTCATTTGCGATACAGGCATACATTCAAGCCATGACTCCGAATCCGGGTGATTTATTCCTTTTCCTTTTCCATAGCCAAGATGGATGAAAAGATATGTGAACGCCAATGAGTTATCAGCCGCATCTGGGCTTGTCGCGGTCACTTCCTCATCATGTGTGCTCAGATAACGGAATTTCGCAAATACATAGAATCAGTCGTCTGAGTATCAAGAACTGGGTTGGTTGCTAGACGTGATACAATATATATAAGAAATGTCTACATAAATTTAATCTTAAATATACTTTGAAACACCATAACTTGAATAAATAACATGTCCGTTCCTCAACCGAATATCTCCCTGCAAAACGCTCGGCAAGGCATTTCCCTATACAGAACTGCTAGTTGGTACATATACATGCTCCTGGAAGACAATCAAATTCATGCTAGTTTCTGCGTCGGATTCGGCCACGAGTTTGGCATGATATTCTCGAACACCAAGGACGAGGCGTGGTCCCAGCACAAACCATTGCACGCCAGATAAAATCTGATAAGCGCCATGGAGTATGGAAGATGCCATAGAATTTGAATGCTACAGAAATGATGAGCAGTGGTTGGAAGCAGATGTCAGCGACAAGTCGGCGTACCTCGAGCTCTGAAGACTCAAGGATAAACTGGATGATAGGGACACCAACAAAGCTAGCACGTGCAAAGATTTAGCAGAAAAGATGAGCACGTCCATATTACAAGCTCACCTCGCAAAATAAAGCACATGAGATTCTATCAGTACTCTGAAACAGTCCCCGATGATCGATCCTGTTGATGGGCCGAATCGTTGCAGGTCACGGAAGTGTTTTACAGCAATCCAGGCTGAAAGACACAATGCGAGGATCTCCCAGATAGTGATGAGTATCCAATTCATTTGAAACAGGAGCTGGTAGTCCCCCTTATATTCATAACGGCACATATGTCTTCCAGAGAGTATAAGCTCCTCTGGTGTTTGTCCAATGAGCAATCTTCTTCAAGTCAACGAGTAAAGCTCACCCGCTGTGGTATCCTTGATTTCTGTTATGTTGATTATTACTGCGTAGGCGATATTTACAGCCAGGAAGACAATAACAAGGAAGATAAGCATCATTCTAGATCCCTGATACATGGCATGTAACCGAGCAATCATGATGACTTGCGTCATATTTCAGTTGAGTCAATATATTGAAGCTGGGTAACTCACTGCCCAACATAACAAACACGATCACATCTTGCACATTCTTTGCGTAGGTCATAAGATAGCCTGAAAGACCTAATTAGTGATCAACTTCGTATGATGATGAAACACTCCAAAACTTACACCTGTGTAATCATTGTGTTGAGCCAAGTTCAATGTTCAGAATTTCACTCACCCCTACATATGAGTGTATTCATTAAATAGGATGATATGGTTGCGGAATACTCACTTCGTCTGTCAGCGAGAATATTGGGATATATGCTGTGTGCTGCCAGTCAGAAGGATCGAATACAACGCATACACGACGTACCCAGAGCGTCGATACTGATAATGAGAGACGGGCTATTAGTATAGCGCCAACAAGTTGGCCACAATAAGTGACATACACAAAATATGGCATTCCAATATAGCGTATCTAGAACATTTTAGAGTCAGCACAACTGTCAACCATGTCATAGTATAACATGAGATACGAACAACCAGGAACAGCACAGTGATGAGAGACCAACGTTGTCCCTGCCTCAAATTCATTGTATTCTCATGTGTTTCATCTGATATGTTGCTCACCCAAATCAAATCAATCTATAACATCATTCTTAGCAAGCTCCCTACTCCAGTAATAGCACTGACCTACCTCTTGTCCGAGGGTTAGGGCTAGAAATATCATCAGAATATCAGCGAGTTTCGAACACTGTCCTGCTCACCCCAATCGTATACCACCACGAAGCCTGCAGCAACTGCGAAGCCGCAAGTCAATGTTAGTAGATCGAGACATCACCGGCTGAGGGACGAACCCCTCCAATAGCTGTAAAAATTATGGTCATCGATGGACGGCCACCAACTGGGATCGTCTGAGATTTTAGTCATTTTCGAGGGATGGATATGAGCGAGTGGGGAAGGTTAGAGATTATAACGATTCAGCATTCGTGCTACTAGTAGATATACTGCATTCAGCGCTTGTATCGCCTAAATCGGCATGATGATGGTGAATATTCATGCAGATGCTAGCCTCGAAGCCCTTGAAATTTTAAAATTTGTCAAAGTATTGCGATGCGAAGAAGTTGAAGTCGCCGCTGATTGAATCCAGGTAGTAGGTAGACTTTGATTTGCAAATCAGTGTTACCCGTTTTGTTCTCGATCAAACTTATAAGTACTGCCCTTGAGCTTGATGCATGATCAATTCTTGGCAGCTAAGCGCTTCTCTGCCTCCGTAATTGAAAATTTCCTACCCTGGATACAATCAAGAGTACTAGTCGGTCGTGTTGAAAACGTGCCTTGGAAGAGTCACATCAAGCCATCAGAAAAAAACGTCCAGTGCGCCGCGGTCCCTCCATGCCATCAACAGCGAAAGCATGAAACAGAAGTGGAATGAAGCATCAAGCTCAAGGATCAGTCCGCTGTGTTGAAGACGTGACTTGAAGAGTAACCAGAGAATATCAGAAACAAACGTGCGATGCTGCGTTCTGATACAAACAGCTCCGATGCTGTGTAGGAGTTCGACCATCGGCTTGATTAATTATCGGCCAGCGGAAAGAATTTTCCACGCATCAAATGATAGACGGCATGACGTTTATTTTCTACGGAACCTTCTCCCCACTAAAGTGGGTGTCGGGGACTTATCAACTATGGTTGTATAGAATTCTATCTTATTCGGAAAATGTTTTTCAAAGTCCGGTATGTCTGCGTTATTTTGCCTACTGGTGAGTAGGGTTACTTTGTCCCAAATAAACACATTTTGCGCCAGCACAGAGTGGGTCAGAATCCGATTGTGATTGTGAGTAAATGTTTATCAGGCTGGTTTGGTACAAAGAGAGGATTGTCAATTCGGATGAATGGTATTATCATCTTGATATTCGGGTAGTAAGCAGTGAGCACTGGTTCTATAGGGAACGTTCTGGATGTGAACGTTCAAGAACGTTGACGTGTCATCACTGTGCGGACAGCCCAATTTGAAATATGGCCGTGTACACTGAAGCAGATTCACTGTTCCATCTGGGCCTCCACTTACTCGTTATTCCCCTCACACTTTACTCGGTTTCACAAACATCATTTTCGCCATTCGCCCGAGTCCGGTCCAAATGACAGTCGTCACTGTAGTTATATCCTGCGAACCAGAGCCGCTGTGTTAGTCAATATTCTGGGCTTCACTCATCACGGTCACTTCTCCTCTATTTTGTTGTGCTCAGATAGACGATAGATCTCGAATGGACTTGATGATTGTAAAATCCTTGGGGCTATCAGCCATCTAGGCACACACACTCCCTTTACTTTCCTGGTTCACAGAACTTTTGCATTGCATCCCACATGTCCCGCCCAGGTGAATGATAAAGGTGGTCAGGTATTCTCGCTGATATGACGCATTATCACCCATCTAGAATTTCTCGACACCATCTCGCGTCTGCTTTTGCTTTGCTCAGACACATGTTTTTTACGGTTTGACGGGTGTACTCAAGGCCTTACAAATTGAAGCTCCCAGTCTCGATTTCTCTGCTCTCTGGCATTCAGTACACCTAATCTTCTTACCGTGCCTTTTCAGCTTGACACTTGGTGCAAATTGTGGGTGCGCCGTTCACTGACTTCCAATAGTAATACAACAAGAAATGCGTACATAAACCTGGCCTTAAATATACACCGGAACACAAGAACTATAATAAATACGACGACGGATCCTCGACTAAATATCTCCTTCATGCAGAACACTCCGCAAGAATTTCCCTACACAGTACTGCTAGTTTCTACACGTACACGCTCCTGGAAGACAATCGAATTCATGCTGGTTTCTGCGTCGGATCAGACCGCGAGTTTGGCGTGGTATTCTCGAATGCTAAGGATGAGGCGTGGTCCTAGCACAAACATCTGTACGACGAAGAAAATTTGAAGAAGACCATAGATTATCAGGGCTCCCACGGAATTTGAATCCTACAAAAACGATGAACAATAGTTACACGCAGATGTCAGCGACAGGTGGGCACACCGTGATCTCCGGAGAGAGAGTAACAAACTGCAGGCAAGAGGTACCAAAAAAGCTGACACGAGCGGAACTTGAGCAGAAAATCATAAGCACCTTCACATTACAAGCTCACCTTGCAAAATAAAGCACGTGAGATTTCATCAACACTCTGGAAAAGTCCCCGCCGATGGTCGATCCTGTCAATGGGCCGAGTCGTCGCAGGTCACGGAAATGTTTCACAGCAATCCGGACTGACAGATACAGTGCAACGAACTCCCAAACAGTGTAGGGCATCCAATACAATGCAGTCAGAAGCTCAGCATCCCCCTCAAATCCATAATTGCATATATATGCATTAGAACCTAAGTTCTCCTCCGCAGAGTCTGGCGTTTGTGTAATGAGCTGTGTTCTTCAAGTCAACAAGTTAAGCTTACCCGGTACATTCCAGAGGAGTTCCATTACCGTCAGTACTACACAAGTGATGTTAACAGCCAGGAAAAAAATAACAAGGGAGATGAGCATGATTCTAGATCTCTGATGATACATGGCATGTAACCGAGCAATCATAATGACTTGCATCGTGTTTCAGTTGAGTCAATAGTAACACTGAGGTATTGCAACTGGAAAACTCACTGCCCAGCATCAAAAGTACGACCACACTTGTCAGAACTAGTGCATAGTCTGCAATAATGCCTGAAACACCCAATCAGCGATCACGCTCGTACTAGGACCCCACACTGACTTACACCTATCGAGTGATTATGTTGAGCCAAGTTGAATGGTCAGAATCTCACTTACCCCTACAAATGATGAAGGTATTCAATGAATTGGAACAAGATGGTCGCGGAATACCTACTGCATCTGTTAGCGAGACCGATGGCATAGTTACTGTGCTACCGGTCAGAAGAATCGAACGCAGTACATAAAAGACATACCCAGAACGCCGATACTGATCATGAGAGATGGGCTATTAGTACAGCACCAGCCTATTAGCCAAAATGACATACACAGAATATGGTAGTCCAAGATAGCGTATCTAGAATATTTTGGGGTCAGCACGACTGTCAATCATGCCAAAGTATAATATGAGGTACGCACAAGCAGGTATAACACAGTCATGAAAGACCAACGTTGCCTCTGTCGCAAGTTTATTATATTCTGTTGCCTTTGTCCTAATACAGTGGGACTGTGTCACTCACCCAGATGAGTTCAATCTATGACACCATTCTTAGCGAGTTGGCTGCTCCAGGGATAGTGAGATCAACCTACCTCTTGTCCGAGTGTTAATACTAAAAGCATCATGAGGATATTAGCGGTTTCCGAACACTGTCTTGCTCACCCCAGTCATACACGACTACGACGCCGGCAGCAACTGCGAAACCGCAAGTCAAAGTTAGATCGAGACATCTTGATGCGACGAACTCATCCAATAGATGGAAAAAATACTAGAATTGACAAACAGCCACGATATGGGAACATTTGAGGACTGGGACATATTTGAGTGTGTGAGTAGTACGCGGGGTGTTGGGAATTGCAACGGTCTAATGTTCGTGCTAGATATACATTGCTGTTCACTGCTTGTGTCGCCGAAATCGGCATGACGGTGATGAAGATATTGATCTCCGCCTTAAGGCTCTGGAAATTTGTTGAAGCTAGAAGTCTTCGATTGAATCACTTGACGTAGATTTTGATGTACAAATTCCAGTGCTCCGAGTCTGTATCAAACTCAACTCAAACTCAATTTCCGATTTCCGATCCTAAATTTCGTAATTTGCCAATGACTTGTTTGCCAATCTCATCGAGCTGTACACAGGCCCGCTTCAACTGGCCGTGTGTTAGGTTTATTGTCTCCTGTGTGTAATTTACCTTTTGATTTTGGGATGGTGTCCATACAAGTATTCAACAGATACCAAGGATGCATGCGGCAGTGCAATAATACATCACCATCAGATCAAGTGCACGATAGTGCGCTTTGTGGCATTGGATTCGCTCTATACTTGTCTCTCTTTGTTCATCGTTTTGATACGATCATGAGAGCCCAATGATTCGAGCGTACTAGGCGACGGACAACGTGAGATATACTTACTTCACTCTGCGTCACGGTTTCTTATCTGAGTTCTTTGACGTTACTAGTATATATGCCGCAGAATGATCATTCTTTTTCGATAAGAGTACTAATCGGATCCAGGCTGTTACGCCTCGGGCTCAGCCAGCAATGCCGAAGAGTGAGTACATACGTGTTTCATGCATATCACCCCTTGACCTGTATTAGATGGATGACTACATGGTTTCATAAGGAACTCCTCAATTTTTGCAAACTCGCAGCGAATCGTATACCACCACGACGCCTACGGCGATTGCGAAGCCGCAAGTCAACGTTAGTTCGAGACATCACCAACTAATACGACGAACCCATCAAATAGCTTAAATAAATATTTGAATTGATTATCGGCCACGAAGCGGGATCATTTGAGACCAGGGTCATATTCGAGGGATGAGTGTGAGCGAGTGAGGGATGTTGAAGGTTATGGCGATCTAGTGTTCAGGCCAGATATACTGCTGATCAGCGCTGCAGCCCTCGTATCGCCAAATCGGCATGACGGTGATGGATATCGCCTGCCTCCGAGTGTCCGAGTCGGATTCGAGGCCCTTGGTTGGTTGAAGTCAGTATTGTGCGATGTGACATCAAACAAATCTGGAAGTCTTAGGTATCGATTGAATGAAAGTATATTTTGATTTCCGACCAGTACTCATCTATACCTATTAGAGAACATTCTGGATGTGCATGTGAACGTTGGCGGGGATTGATATGTACTGGCGTGGACATCAGTGAACTAGCAGGAAGATCAGATGAAGTAGTGATTCACAAACATCTGTCACATTTGTGATGTCTGACCTTGAGAATGTGGATATGAAGCAGGGGTCTTCGATTATGGACAAAGTACTTCCAATCCCGAACTAGTAAATAAAAGCACGATTAAAGAGGGATTGGATGATAGGCTAAATTTGGGTTAGAAACTTGTTAGAAGCTACATGTCTCTGGTTCAAGGCGTGCCTAGGAGGCCTTAAAGTGGCCAACAGTCTCTGAATGAACTTCCTCGCTGATGGCTCTTCTCCACAAGGTCTACCTTTCGATGGCACCTGTGAGTTGAATGACTAAGTATCGTGCATAAGATCGGAACAAACGCATGCCCACCCCATATTATCCATCTGGACAGTAGGGAAGTTGTAACGAATTGTGCGTGAAGGGTAGAAGTAAGTACTATATCGCTGATTGACGTCTGTTCGAGCATATCCAGTATGTCAACTGAAAAGAGAAGGAGACTTACGGGGTCAGTATATGCCTCTGTTCCGAATAAATGCACCTGACAAGAAGATGGGAAGTGCTGAGTGGGGAGTAGAGAAGAGATCCGGGACTGGAAAAGTATCAATAAGATGCAAACCTCGATATTCTGACATACGTGCTTTGATCAGATCGCACTGGCTCTATCGTGTGCCCCAGAAAAGTAAAAGGAGAAGCAACCTGAGCAAGTCGTGAGACCACAGATGGCTGATAATGTGTCATACCTCGACGCCTTCATCATCATCCATCTGAGCCGCAGAGAAGGGATGCCGAATCGTGAAGGGTCGAAGTAGGGTGTCAATGTCCTAAAGACTACTAGTCGACTGATTGGGCATCGATAATCTGATTGAACCATCCAAAGCTGACCACTGTCAGCAAGTCGTGTCGTCAACAGCAATCAGCTGTGTTCAACCACGATTTAACGATGTGGAGTAAGCTAGGTTTAGGAGGCCTACAGGCTCGAGTATTTCATGGGAGGAAAGTGCACCTGACAAAGTATCACCAGCTGTCTGAGACAAAAGACGTGAGAAGCAACAGTGATTGTAAAAGCACATATGGCTGATGATACATCGCTCCTGCTTTCATGCTGTCCTCCTCTGCAATCATCCGTGTGGGCCAGGCATGTGGAAAGCGATGCGAAAGTATCGTGAACCAGGGAAAGTAAAAGCAGCGCGTCTGAGCTCAGACAACTGATAGTCAGAAAATTCCACACAATGACAAATTCCCTGATTATCGTCTGTCTGAGCACAAAGAAGAAAGGGAAGTGATGGTGATTGTAGAATTGTGCGTTGGGTTTTTGTTCAGGTTCTTGTGATCTGTGAATACACAGAGAAAGTAGCACGTCTGTTAGCGTGAAGCATCGAACCAGATCTGACACGAACCAAATTATTGACACCATCGTCGTAAATCAGTGGCACCCTTGAGTATGGCAACGGTCCTGCTCATCCACATGGACCAGTCGTTGGACTCGAGTGAAAAGAGTACGAGGGGTGAATTCTGTTTCTTAAAACAAAACCGAAGATTCGCAGGGCAAGAGATGGCTGATAAAGCAAGGTTTCTTCATGAAAATCACCGCTTGCCTATCGTCCATTTGAGCTGTCCATATATGGATGGACTACGAGGGAATATAACTTGCAGGGAGTCAGAACATATCCTAGACAAAAGTTCATAGAAATGCTTACCTTGAGCATTGAGATACATGGTTCAATCAGGTTGATGACTCATTGTTCTCGGGTGAGGTCAGGGTAAGGTTTAAGTTTGGGCGCAGATCAATAATTAAGCGAGTCTATGCTCGAGGACGGCGGACGCATGAGCACTGCTGTATCGATGGTCAGCCTAGCATATGTCGTCAAGAGTAGTAGAACAGGATAAACAACTTACAGCTGGCCAAAACTAGATGCGCTATATAAGCCGTCTCCAACACAAGTGCCACTTTTTTGGGATGCATACGGGTGGGCGTGAACACATTGTAAGTCTTAAGAGAAGACGCCATTGAGTTGTGAAATGAGTATGCCAGCTGGCTAAAAGGTACGTGTATAAATACTTACATGTGGATTTGAATCTTATGCCAGATTGGTGCGAAGATGAGCTGAGAGGAATAGTGGGATGAGTGGTATCCTGAGGCTGGTGAGGAAGTTAGAGCATTATCATGTTTAGAAATGAATACAAGGTGAAGGGTAGGAACGAAATGGAAAATATGAACGTAGCGTTATGTATACATGGGTAGCCAGCCGGACGTTTTGGAGTTTGTGGCGTATAAAAGATGTACACTAGCACTCAGCCTTTAGTGCAGCAGTACTCGCAGTAGACTGAATGGGTAGTAGAAGTGGCAGCCAATGTCCTTGAGCACGAGGAAGACTGTGTCTGGAGGACCTGTCACAGGAGCAACACTTTAGATAAGTACTAGGAAGACCAAATACTAGATGGAAGATAGTCGTTCCTTCTAATTTTGATACCAGTGCCTGTCCATCGAGCTTCACGAGCATGTCGATTCTTGTCCTCCATGATATGATCGATGCAAGAGAGTCAACAAGAGAGTATGAAGGGCGCCAGCGGACAAAATTCACAGCGGTCCACGCGCGAGCCCTGGTTGAGTTTTACTCCCGGGTTAATTGGGTTCGAACCCCAGCCCTCCACACTGTTGGACTACATGTCGACACCAGCAGCTTTCCCACCACTCACCCCAAGAGGTGTGCGATCGAGTAGTTCAAGACACTAACCTGTCGTAACTTGGGTACCCCCTACGCCTACCGTGACAGCGTGATGACAGCGTTACTGATCATGTAATTTAGCCATATTAGGTAGTCGTTCGTCGTACAATGTCAAGTCAAAATGAATCAATTCAACTATTGCAAAGCAAAACAGACAGCTGCAGCGTGAAAACGAGTACGTATGCGACTGGAATAGGTGCGTAAAGTAAGTAATCACGAATGTCCAGATGATGTATTAGAATAATGTGAATGATGATTTGATCCGTAATGCATCGTTTGATAGGAATCGTCCTCGAAGTCCGTGATGTATGCAGTTTTGTCGTCGTTATTACTTGAAGCAAACCATGAGTCGTAACGTGTAAATTGATGAGTCGTAGAATACATAATGAATGAGGTTTAAGAGAGAGAGATGCGAGTCATTGACGAGACACGTTGAATCGATATTGATGTGTCGTATTGATATTAATCAGTGATCACTCACGTGTTCTCGAAAATCACATCCAAGATCTGACATTTAGCAGGTACCGTCTTTACATGCTCGTGTTTCATTAAGATAACTATCTAAACCTATTCTACAGTAGTAAAAACACCCCCTTTACAGTACTCGCCTAACAATTTTACGATGATTTGAGGCTGCTGGCGAGGAACTTAAAATGTGTTGCTCGTAACTTCATGTGGCTATGTATTAATGTTTTTTTGCTTATCTAATGTTGAGCTCTGTGTTCGGGATTTTGCGAACGCACACCTCTTGACTCACCCCACACGCTTCACATGCAATGACGTCATCATGGACCGGCTGATGTCATGTGACATTAGCATGACTCCACCCAGCACTATTGGGAGCTTAGTCAACCCAAGTGTTGGAACCAAGTCCTGGGGACTTGCTCCCCTGGTGGTAGAGGCCTTATCAGCTTCGGTCGGGAGGATGGCCTGAAGTTAAATAATTAATACCACACCACGGGCAGTTTGCAAGTTCAGTCGGCACCACCGGTTCACACCCTTTCGCAATTTTGTGTCAAGATATGCCCTTATATAGGAATTTCCCACGTAAGCCGAGTTTCCTGCGCAACATAAGCTGCTGGCACCTGAAGATGCCAGTGCAATATAAGCCGTAGAACACGCAGTCATAGGGGCCTGAGGGTCACACCAAGAATATTGCTGAAGGATAACACTGGTCAGGCTATGCTGTCATATTCATGTATGATATAACTAGTACTGTAGTTATGTAGTCATGCATGTTTGTACTGTAATGAGAATCATAGATAGACCATGCATGCCACCATGCATGATGTGTAGAAATGAGAATCACAGATAGCAGACCATGCATGGTAGCATGCATGACTGCCACTGCGGCGGTCAACCTACCATACCATCATGCATGGCTCACGTGGATCGGCACAATTGTTCTCCCACTGTTTTATGCATGGTATCATGCATGGGGTGCTAGTACTAGTATTACTACTACCGCCACCTTACTATGCATGATATCGTGCATGACCCTGATACCATGCATGGTTACTGTACTTCAAGTTTTTCCTGCCCGGTTATGCGTGGCATCATGCATGGCCTACTAATCATGCATGATCGTCCGAATCTGCTGTATGTATATATGTAACACTACCACAAGACTTGTTTGCTTAATTCCCCCATGTCTTACTACTGTCATCCTGCTATTACTAGCCCGTTATTGAACATTTACCTTCGTATGCGCGTGATAGCGACTCTCTCAAAAAGCTAGTAAGTTCCCCCATTCACAACTCGGATGCTACAAGATATGAATATATTGCTCAAGATTACATTACGAATATGTTTGCTACGAAGATACGGGTATGGGGATTATCAAGATGCGTCACTAATCACTTTCAAGAAGACAAGAATAAGTAAAACGAAGAGTCAGATACCTGTGCACTAAGCCTGGGCCGTGGAAATAGCAGCCACCTTTTTTTTCCTAAACCAACGGTCAGTGGCCATTATTTCCGATGAAGCGTACGCAGTACTTAGCAATAGGCTCTCCACCTGCTTCCAGTCCGTGTTTACGGACCTTTTTTCCCCCCACGGTGGCCGTATTTTCCTTCTCCCGCATTTCGCTGAGGGCATTAGCGCCAATGGCATTAGCGGTTTCGTTGCGAGTAGATGGTTTCGGTGGACGTCTGGACTTGCGAGTAGTGGGTTCGGGCTGGCTGGTAGAAGCTGCGCGTTTAGCTTTACCACCTGCTGCCTTCTGAGGAAGGCCTGCTGGAACCGAGGGAGGATCGCCTGTGGGCACGGGTGGCAGTGGTGGTAAGGTGACCGAAGGAGACGGAGTGGGAACGGGTGGCAGCGGTGGTAAACCGTCTGAAACAGACGGTGTGGGAACAGGTGGCAGCGGTGGTAGGCCGTCTGAAACAGACGGAGTGGGAATAGGTGACAGCGGTGGTAAGCCGTCTGAAAGAGACGGTGTGGGAATAGGTGACAGTGGTGGTGAGCCGTCTGAAGAAGACGAAGGAGAATTGTCGGTGGCAGGTGGTGACGGTGGTAAAGCATGGCTCAGATGGCCACTGGATTGCTGGAGGTAGCTCGCAGGCTGGGGGAAGTTTGAAGGCTGGTAGTTCGAAGGCTGGGGATAGCCCATAGGCTGGGGGTAGGGGTAGCTAGGGACTGGGTTGAAATGGTTGAAACTGTTGAAATTTTGAAGCGGATCATAGATTGGTGGAGGGGCGAAAGTCCACAATTGAGGATTGCTGAGCAGTTGACCGAGATCCGCAGAGTGACCATCATTGCTGAAGTTGGTAGAGTTGGCGAAGTATGATGAGTTGGCATCATGCATGGCGAGATTTGCCTGACCCTCAGGCTGCTGGAGGCCATGCATGTTGATGGGTTGCTGGAGGCCATGCATGTTGATGGGCTGCAATGAGTCATGCATGGTGTCAGGCTTCTGAGTCGGATTGTCATGCATGGGCATAGCATAGTTAGGCGAATAAATATCGAGAATCTGCTCTTGACGTTCCTCCCTCCCGTCCAAAACATTCCCCTCACTCTGCGACACCTCTATTTCCTCCTCCGGCTCATCTGTGAAAGGGTCAGCATCTACTTTGTCTTGATCTTCAAGGTCCGTCTGGTCTCCATCCCCGGCCTCTCCGTTGTCCGCAGCTACCGCTCTTTTGGCATCGCCTTTCATCTCAGGTTCGGGGGAGGAATAGCCTACATCATTGTCGCGTAAGTGCAATGCCCTTTTGACAGTAACGATTAACTTACCTTGTACACCTTGAAGGAATTTCAGATACGTTCCAAGAAAGTGTTCCTTGAAGTCAGGCAATAATTGCGGGGCTGAATGTCCCAGCTTGGTGGTACCGACGTCAACCCTGCTACTAGTAAGCGCTCCATTTGTTCACAAGACATTCACAAACTTACAATGCGACAGAGATTTTGTTGTTGTTCGAGGGATCTGGCCCACCCATTAACACCAAGAACGAAAACCCAGTTTGGTGCTCGAGGTACGTGAGGATTGTGTTGAAGATAGCAGGTAAGTTTTCCTGTGCTCTGTTTGAATGACATGTTGCTCAACAAACAAATCAAAAAAAATAGTCGAGAAGAACGTACTCAAGCATATCCTCGGTGGTTGGTGATTGCTCCTCTTCATCTTCGTCCTCCAGAGCCTCGGCGTCTTCATCATCTGCATCAGTATTCGCCTTCCTCGATTTCTTCTTTGCTTTCATCCTGGCCTTGACGTCCGCAATAATAGTCTCATCGGCTTCTCGCTCCCAACATTGACGTGTGACCTCTCGTACAATCGTTAGTCTTTCACCTCTTGTTGTGGAGCCACGTTCGCTAACTGCAGCTTCGACAGTTGGACGGATATTGGTTTTATAATATAGTCGGGAGTACATTTCGGCCTCGCTCAGAGCTCTTGCACCCCGAGGCTGGAGGAGGTCCTTGAGTAAACGAGTGGCCCGTGTGGAAGATTGCGCCACTCTGCCTTTGCGAGATGCGGAATTACCCGAATGCCACGACATCCAGGTGCGCAGTTGCTTCATTTACTTTTCGGTTAAGATCTCAAGCTCACAATTAACTAACGACATCACCTTCTGACGCCTCTTTACTGCCTTCCCCTTTGCTGCCGATTGTACGGCATTCAGACCATCCTCATCGGGAAGTTCTGGCCAGAGCTCTTTATATATGGGCCATTGCTGCTCCCATTGCTCATAGATGGGGGGCCAGAACTTTGCATAGCTAGATTTAGTCGAGCACTTTTGATACCCGGGAAGCTGTGCCGTTAACCACTCCTTCTGCTCCTTAGATGTCCATTCACTAGCAACCATCTGTGAGATATATGTTAGGCAATTGTGTGAAAAATTGATTGGCCGCGCACCTTTCGCTCTCTTTGAATTTCGTGATGGGGATTTAACGTTTTGACGCCTGAGTGCAAAAATAACAAAATGAAAATTTTACAGCATCAATACAGCTCCATCAAGCCACAAGGCAATTGCCGAATGACATGAACACACGGCAGCACACGGCACGCTTGAGTCTATTAACCTGAATCTCATTGATGCGGTCACCCAATCTACACGTAGTACAGCTATCAACCTGTATCACTACATAATAATGAAATCGGATGTCAACTGATACCTAAGAAATCCTCGACTATGTGCAGATGTGATGTCATCATCTTCAAAAACACGCAAGAGAATGTCTTCAAGAAATAGTATGACTTGCCGGCACTGCATACCATCATCTCCACTTCTTGTAACTGCTTCTTCGGCCTCTTGAGCGATATCAAGTGCATCCAGAATAGGCCGCCGTGAGTCTTCGGAACGAGTGCTACCCGTATACTGCAACACCAGGTCATCCAAGAACTTATGGGTGGACCCATTGACAAGCCTATGGAATTTAATCTGCGGTTCAGATCTAAAGGTTTGTTGTCAAAGTGAGTTTGAAATGATATGGCGATTGAGTACATACAATCTAGTAGTGAGGTCGCTGGCTCCTGTATCGCCGCTGTCTCCTGTATCGTTTGACTCGGAGTTCTGAAGGGTTGTGCGTAGATACCTTGGATGCTGCGGATGCTTCGATGTACTATCATGATACTTTAATTTCATCTTTTTCAAGATGGCGACTTTGTTTCTGTTGGAGGATGCAATGAACACTAGCGACTGCGACTCGAAAGAACATGAACGTACCTCTCATAATACACCTTTCTGTATCCCTTAGCAGCTTCTTGGCGTTCTTTGTTGGACTTGTGCAGTTTTTTCCGAGCCATGGTAGGAGTGTGAAAGAGGTGTTGAATGTCGAGACTGAGAGAGAGAGAAAGACTAGTAAGTAGTACGAATGATGCGTGATCACATCCGAGTCGCTAAGTTACCTAATTCGAGTTTGAATGCCTGTTCGTTGTATGCACTGCAAGACTCAAGAATACATGCTCAGCAACATTTTTTCATGCAACATACCAAGATAAACGACTGTATTCATGAAATAAACAGAGTCTGATGCAGGACAAGGCCAGCATTACATGGTGGTAGGCGTGTTGTATGTTTTACCTGCCGCAGAATACTTTCTTAGGAGATTTATTTATCAGTGCCGCGTTCGTTCAACTACTGGCCTTCCCTTCACTTGTATGTTCGATCAAGAGAACCAATTCAGTATTGCCGTGACTTGGATGATACACACTATGAACAACTACTTGACTTGTATATACAGTATATCACGCCCCCAAGTACTGACAATTATTGCGTTCAATGGCTGCATGGATCCGTGCAATGCCTACTTCAACTGACGGACAGCGGCTATGGATAGCACCACTGACCCCCGTGACTTGGGGAGAAGTGTCTTCCCTGTTGGTTGATTGTTAAGTGCGTAAGATAGAGCCAAAAAAAGGCGTACCAAGTGGCCAAAACTCCAACACGTTTGCCTTTAATCACGCAGTAGAAGGGCCCTTCAGCAGACAGATCCGGAATCTCGTATGGGAACCCTTTATACGAAACTGATCTGGGCGGAAGCCCAACTAAGTCTGCGTTGGTCCCAACTAAGTCTGCATTGTTGCAGAGCGAGAGTTTCGCGATGGCTTCAGCAATACTGCCGATATCGGGTGCCAGTGTGGTGGAGGAGAGCGGTGGAGTGGTGGTGGAGGCTGGAGTAGCCTCAGCTCCCTCATCAGCATTGTCTTCAACATCACAATCGGCTGTGTGATCTTTCTGTCCAGGGTGAACGGCTGCTGACGGAATGGTCTGGCCACCATCTGCAATTGCTTGGATGATGGTAACGAGTGCATGGGCAGTGACAGAACTCATGTTAAGATTCATGAGTGCTGTCACAAGAGCATCTAGAGAGAGTCAGTGCACATTTTAAAAAAAATATCATAAACTTACCGACTGCGTGACTAGAAGACACCGAGCTTGGGTTGTTTGATGTCATCTAGTAAAGTAATGTTCGTGTTCGGGTTGAAGTGGAGTGATGGGAGAAAGACACTTACCGTCTGGCAGCTTATTTATGGTAGTACCATGGAGGCTCGCGACTGATTCTGGGTGGGAGAGGAAGGCGATAGATTCATCGCCCACAACGTAATAGTCATGGTGTATGCAAGTGTAATACTAGGTGAGTCTCAGGAAGGCTTGGCGGATGCGTCTAAATTCAACAGATACAAACAAACACTTCTTTGATTCACCACTGCAAGATCCTTGGATGTCGGGTGATGCAATTGATAAGGCGTGTCTCAAATTTATTCGCTGTGATGAATTCATTCGTTTTTTCATTCGTTTTTACTGTCTGCATTCACAATGGGCAAGAAAAAACAGAAGTTAGTGCGTCATACTGCTGAGCAGCTTGCAGACACGCCTTCAGCCAACATCCACACGGCCTCCATGTACACATTCCAATCTGGCAAGCCCTTAGTACGCACGGAGTCCCTGGTTGGCGCCCATGTTGCTCCCACAACTGTCCCCCCTACAACTCTTCTCCATAATGAGGATTCACCACCAGCATCTAACCAATGGCAAATATACCAAGCTGGCTCTTTCCTCGACTATATGCCGATTCCTGACGAGTTTCGCGTCGAGACTGAGACTTCGAAGAGGAAACGCACAGCCGGGGTAAGTTTTGTTCTTTATTCTCAACATTTTGCTTATCCTGTACCTACCAGGATCACCCCCTTGCAGCATGGCAGCCGGAATGCCCCACATTTTTGGACGAGATGATTCGCCTGGAAGGCCGCGGAGATTACGCCGAGGATTCTGTCTGTCGACACTGTCAAGAACATGCCCCAACCATCCGATGTGCAGATTGCTTCTTACAGGAACTCTACTGCCCTTCGTGTACTGTGGAACGGCACCGATGTCTGCCCTTACATCGTCTTCAGGTAATGTGATTCCCAAGATCTATACTTTAGGATCCGCTGACATCCGGTATTTACTATTATGCAGCGCTGGAATGGTAACTACTTCGAACGAATCACCCTCAAGTCATTGGGTTACGCATTCAGCTGGGGCACCGTATCGGAGACACGTGCTGCAACCCTCACCATGCGTTCAATGACGACTTCATAATAATCGACTCGACTGGAATACATGAAGTGGGACTGGATTTCTGTGCTTGTGGGACCATGCAACACACGTTAAGCAACTGCTACGCTCTCGACTCTTTCCAGCAACCGTTACTGACCCCAAAACTGCGGCTACTTTCGGCGTGCTCGAACAGTATCACTTACTGTCTTTTGAGTCTAAAGCCTCCGCGTTTGAGTTCTATCAAGCCCTCGCGC